ATATAATAACAACAATAACAATAACAAGAATTGGTGGCTACTATACAACCTAGTTCAAGAAGCTCTATCCAGTTTAACCAGTACCTCCAAGTGAGATAGCTGTCGTCTTTTTTTTTTTTTTTTTAACTATAAAACAACTCATTCACCCTAGCTGGTTTGGCTCAGTGGATAGAGTGTTGGCCTGCGGAATGAAGAATCCCAGGTTCAATTCCGGTCAAGGCCAGATGTCCGGGTTGCGGGCTTGATCCCCAGTGGGGGGCGGGGAGGAGGCAACCGGTCAATGATTCTCTTTCATCATTGATGTTTCTATCTCTCCCTCTCCTCTCTGAAATAAAAAAATATATAAAAAAATAATAATCCTACATAATAAAAGCCCAGCGACTGAACAGCGGAATGACCAGAACGACTGGTCGACCAGTCACTATGACATGCACTGACCACCAAGGGGCAGAGACTCAACGCAGGAGGCTGATGAGCATTTGGCAGGCAGGCGAGCGCTTAGGGGAGATCAGGTGGGCAGGAGGCGAGCAGTTAGGGGCGATCAGGCAGGCAGGTGAATGGTTAGGGGCGCTCAGGCAGGCAGGCAAGCAGAGTGGTTAGGGGAGATCAGGCAGGCAGGCTAGTGGTTAGGAGTCAGCCGTCCTGGATTGTGAGAGGGATGTCCGAATTGCGAGAGGGTGCAGGCTGGGCTGAGGGACCCCCCCATCCCCCACCCCCATGCATGAATTTCATGCACTAGGCCTCTAGTTTTAAAATAAAATAAAATGAATGTAGAACTTTGAAATGAAATTGACCAGGACAGGAGGTACTTGTATGACGTATGGAAATGACACCCAGTGCCTTAGAGGTGGGCAGTTTAGCTTTGGCTCTCACTTGAAAAACCCCCTGAATCTTCCCATTACTACCTAATTCACTCCCAGAAGTCAAACTGCAGCCTGCTAATCTGCCCTGTCATAGGCTTTTCTTGAGTCCTTATCAGCCTTCCTCAGTGGGTAATGTTATGAAGACTGGGAGAGTCTGGCAGGGTTCCTGCTCCTCCCAGGCTGATATCAAAGAGCCACAGGACTGTGACAAAAAGCAAACATTCAGAGGAAAGCCAGATGTGGAACCGAAACAAGAGGAGAAGCAAGAGTATCAGGTAAAAAAATTTTGTTTATTTTTCATTTAAAAAACCTCATCCATCTCATCTTAAATGCAGTTTATGTCTGAGGGTATGAAGGGCTTAGTAAAATAATAGCTACAGGACGATGAGTGAGAAATTTTGGGAAAAGCGGAAAGGCTATTCATATGGAGCTTAAATCTCAGAAAGCATTGTATTTATCAGTTGTTAACAGCAATAGCAACATCAGTGAGACTTGGGAGTCATGATAGTACCGGTCTGCTAGTTCAAAAGCAATTAGATTTGTCCTGTGAATCCAGCAGGTGGAAATTATAGGGAGACAAATTACAGTTGAAAATGAGGGAAACCCTTTCTAACAGAGCTGTCAGAAAATAGAAGGGACTAATTTGGTGGGTATTAAGTTACTCATCACTGGAGGTGTTCAAGCAGTTGCTGGAAAGAAATTTGTTGGGAGTTGGGAATATTATACAGAGGATTTAAGAATCAGATGAATGGTTGGACCTGAAGATCTTTAAAGTCCTTTCCAACACTTCTGTGACTCTATATGACATGAATAGAATGTTAATCAGAAGTTTCTCTATAGTGCCAGGCATTTACATTTACCTGCTCACATATGAAAAAAAAGTCACCATGTTGATTCTGGTATACCTGGCAGAAGTGAGAAGGCAACCATAGCAAACTATGGCAGAAGAGGATATATGTCCTGTTGAATGCCTGCTTCTTTCTCTCTTTTAGAGCATAAACAACACCCACATGGCCTCTCCTTTGCAAAGATTACATAGAAAAAATGGGTTCTCTTCTTCTACAGGAAGAATTTGGGTTTGGGTTAGTAAACATCTTATTTTGCAGTTAACAAAAGCTAAGGGAGCCATGTCTGAAATATTTTCTTCAGAGCCCTGATTTCTATTCAGGTGGCTATTCTCTGATCTGAGAAGCAAAAGTTTAACAACTATGTCCCAAAGGCTCATGTTTTTTCCAAGTCTTAAAGGTCCCCACAGCACAGGGCAGAACTATTAGGAGGGCAGGAAAATGCCTGTATCATACTATATATGAAGAAATGCACTTTTAGAAGAATGTTTGAAAAGTTAAAAAGAGCCCAGACTGTGTTGCTCAGTGGTTGAGCATGGAGCTATGAACAGGAGATCACGGTTTGATTCCTGTGCAGGGCACATGCCCAGGTCAGGGCACATGCCCATGTTGTGGGGCGTGCAGGAGGCAGCCAATCAATGATTCTCTCTCATCATTGATGTCAAGCCCTGATTTCTATTTAGATGGCTATTCTCTGATCTGAGAAGCAAAAGGAGGTTGGTCACAGTTTAACAACTATGTCCCAAAGGCTCATGTTTTTTCCAAGTCTTAAAGGTCCCCACAGCACAGGGCAGAACTATTAGGAGGGCAGGAAAATGCCTGTATCATACTATATATGAAGAAATGCACTTTTAGAAGAATGTTTGAAAAGTTAAAAAGAGCCCAGACTGTGTTGCTCAGTGGTTGAGCATGGAGCTATGAACAGGAGATCACGGTTTGATTCCTGTGCAGGGCACATGCCCAGGTCAGGGCACATGCCCATGTTGTGGGGCGTGCAGGAGGCAGCCAATCAATGATTCTCTCTCATCATTGATGTTTCTAACTCTCTCTCCCTTTCCCTTCTTCTCTGAAATCAATAAAAATATCTTTTTTTAAAAAAGAGAAGACTTAACAAAAAAGATAAAAAGAATTATGCATTGGTCTCAATTGAAAGTCTTTCAGGGATAGAATAAAGCTTTAAAAATGTACAAAATAGCACGTAAAGAATACCAAGTTTTACACTTGTTTATATAGCAAGCTATCTACATCACATATATTATTAAACTACACTCCCTTAGTTCTCTATCGCCCCCTTTCTTTTGCTTTGAATTAATAGGAGCATCTTCTGATTTCAACTTCTAAGTCTGCGTATTCTCCAATAACTTACTTTGGTTCCTGTGCCAATCCATGCCTTTTTTTTTTAACCCATAACTTTTATAATACCTGGGCTCACTGAGGGCACTTCCTGACTTTAAATTTAAAAATGGCTAAAAATTTTAGCACTGTAAGTTTTCCATTATAGCAAAATATTAAGCATTTACCTTTAACTATGTCCGTTCGTGCTGGGAAGGCTAACGATCTTGATGAAGTTGTTAGAAAACAGTGATATCAAATATTTCCACCTGGCCATTGTTTCCCAGTGGTTGAGCCATCAACCTATAAACCAAGAGGTCACAGTTCCATTCCTGCACATGCCCAGGTTGCAGACCAGATCCCCAGTACGGGCCATGCAGGAAGCAGCTGATCAATAATTCTCTCTCATCATTGATGTTTCTATCTCCCTCTCTCTTCCTCTCTAAAACCAATAAAAATATGTTCAAAACTATTACTTCTGTGTTAAAATGTATGTCCAGTAATTTATAGCTTTGAAGAAAATACTGTAATCTCGGGAATTCTTGTTAATGTAGAAACAACATCCTGTCCTGCTTATTTATTGGGACCCCTTTCTGTTACTGTTTTGAGCACACAGGGGCTGCTGAGATGGAAAATCTCCAGACCAACACGGAAATGCTCTACCCTGAGATAATTGTAGACGTGGGCACAGTGACTTTTGGAGAAGAGAACAGGAAGAAGATGACCAATAACCAGTTGAAAAGAAATGAGAATTCTAAAATCATCCAAGCCGCCTGTGCACTGTTGAATTCTGGAGGGGGTGTGATCAAAGCGAAAATTGACGATAAAACCTACAGCTACCGCTGCCACGGGCTGGGACAGGATCTGGAGACTTCTTTTCAGAAGCTCCTTCCTTCAGGCTCACAGAAATACCTTGACTACATGCAACAGGGGCACAGTCTCTTGATTTTTGTAAAGTCATGGAGCCCAGATGTCTTCAGCCTCCCCCTACGGATCTGTAGCTTGCGTTCCAATTTATATCAGAGAGATGTGACGTCCGCTATAAACCTGAGTGCTAGCAGTGCCCTCGAACTTCTCAGACAGAAGCAGTCCAGAGCCCAAAGAGGAAGACCCAGGGTGAAGGAGCTGCATCCTCAGAAAGTTCTTGACAGACACATTCAGGAAGAGGAAGATATGAGGCTGTCTGCCTCAGAATTTCTTAAAAAGGACAAACTCATGTATAAAGAGAAACTCAACTTTACTGAGTCAACACATGTGGAGTTGAAAAGGTTCACCACCAAAAAGATTGTCCCTAGGATTAAAGAAATGTTGCCTCATTACATTTCTGCATTTGCCAACACCCGTGGGGGATACCTAATTATCGGGGTAGATGATAAGAGCAAAGAAGTGTTTGGATGTAAGAGAGAAAAAGTGAACCCTGACTTATTAAAAAAAGAAATAGAAAACTGCATAGAAAAACTGCCTACATTCCACTTCTGCCATGAAAAGCCAAAGGTGAATTTCACTACCAAAATCTTGGATGTCTACCAAAAGGATGCCCTGTATGGTTATGTCTGTGTTGTCCAAGTGCAGCCCTTCTGCTGTGTGGTATTCACAGAGGCCCCAGATTCGTGGATCATGAGGGGCAGTTCGGTCACAAGGCTGACGGCAGAGGACTGGGTGGCTATGATGCTGGATATTCCACCAGGTAAATCAGAATAGAAGCCATTATTCAGTCAGCAGGGAGTAACCCCCTTCTCTGCCTTCTGTGGGTAGTTGGTCAGATATTTTAAAAAAAAATTTTTAATTGATTTTAGGAAGGGAAAGGGAGAGAGAAATAGAAACATCAATGATGAGAGAAAATCATTGATCATCTGCCTCCTGTACACCCCCTACTAGGGACCAAGCCTGCAATCGGAGCATGTGCCCTGACTGGGAATTGAACCATAACCTCATGGCTCAACCACTGAGCCACACTGGCTGGGCTGGCAAGATGTTTTACTTAAAGAATAGGAAGCAATTTTGCTTAAAAATATTCTCCCATTTCCCTGGCTAGTGTTTCTCAGTGGTTAGAATGCCAGCCCATGCACCACAGGGTTTGGCTGGATTCCCAGTCAGGGAACCTTCCCAGGTTGTGGGCTTGAACCCCAGTGGGAGGCATGCAGGAGGCAGCCAATCAATGATTTTCTCTCATCATTAATGTTTCTATACCTCGCTCTTCCTTCCTCCCTGAAGTCAATAAAAAATATATTTAAAAATAACATTCATCAGTAATCTCACTCTGAAGATTATATTTCAAAGGCAAATTGTTTAAGAAGGACTCTTCATTAATTTTTTCAAGGGAAACTTGTCGAAAATTTTTAACTGTTTCAGTAACATTAGGAACTAATACCTCCAATCACTGGGCTTGGGGCACCATCAAGTGGGGAAAAGCTGATGCAAAAGGAGAAGCTGGGACAGGGGATGGTGGTGAGGGAGGAGGACTCCTAGTGTTTTCACTTCCCTTACAGTTTTGCTCAGAATCAGCCCTGGTGATTTCTAAGCGATCCATAGAGGACTTACAGCCTAACCGAAGCTTATCAATTTGCCTTCGTGGTTAATATGTTCCAAATTTGATAAAAACAAGCTTGGATTGAGTGATTTGATTGGATTATTCTTTCTCTTGTCCTAAATTTGTTTGAGTTTAAACACACACACACACACACACACACACACACGCACACACACACACACACACACACACACATACCAAACTAGAGATCCTGCCACTTCCTATTCTCTTCAA